GGTAAGAAATGTATTAAAAATATGAACATTCGATGACTTTTATAAAATTAATTTCTAAGATGACTATGAAAGGATTCACAGGCAAAACATAAGAAAACTGGCGGAGTTTACAATCGCCCGTACTATGTATGGCGTGTAACAGACTTTTAAAACGTGTGGTACTCGCTGCAGTCTCGTGTGCCTATTTCCCCGGAAGAATAAAAACACACGTTATACACTTAATATTATAATGCATTCCAATAATTACCGATTTCTATATCACATTCATTATAAAAACAAATTTAATTTCCGTATATTCTTTTTTAAAAACAGAATCAATTTTAAACTTATCAACGGATACCAATATAATATACTATAAGTATAGTTCCTCACTTAAGTCCAGAAACAAAAACATATTGATGGTTATTTGCGTTAATCTAATATCTAACATTATAAAAAATATTCCATGTCGATAAAAATCCGTTCTTTTTCGAACGAACCCATGTTTAATGCTAGCCATTGTAGCCACAGAGAACACGTTTATAATTTGTTGTTAATATATTGTATATTTTGAATTAATAACATATTAATAAAATAATATAAAATCTAACATAAAAATATAATAAACACACATGTATAATTTTATTATAATGATATGTTATATATTATATTATATTATTATGATATTATAATGAAGATTTTACGGTTGTAGCGACATTTAGATTGATAAAGTTGCTACAATCAACGAACGACAACTAAATTAATAAAAAAAAATAATTATTACGATCGCTCAACGAACGACGATTACTTATTGCATAGATTACTATATCACCAGGCCCGACGGAGCACTATGCGGTGGAGACGCAACACCTATCTTGCAAACTAATTGTCATAAACGTTGTTTAAATTAATACTACATTAAGGACTCAGTATTTATCAATTAAATACTGCAGTACACCGGATGGGTAACATTTGTCTACAAATCGATGTGTGCGATACATCGAAATGTACAACTACTGAGAGTTTAAAGACCTTATTTATGGTAAACTAATCAGTTTAATATAGGAAAGCATTTCCAATCCATACATTTCTAAAAGAAAATGATATGAACTTGAATAAGATCGTCAAAAATGAGTTCATTGACCACTTATCTAACCTCAAAATTCATTTCGAACACTATTTTCCACAAAATACTCAACAACAAAATTGGATCAAAGATCCCTTCAGTGTTGACCTTCCAACAAATTTGTCATCTATTAAACAAGAACAGTGGATCGATGTAACATCAGATTCCACAATGAAGACCATGTTCGGATCATCGTCGTTAACACAATTTTGGATGCATGTGAAACTACAATACACCGAATTGGCCACCAAAGCTTTGAAAAATTTAACACCTTTTGCAATTTCGTACCTCTGTGAGACCGGATTTTCTGCGTTAGTTGTAATTAAAACAAAATATCGATCAAAAGTGAACGTTGAGAAGAAGATGAGAATAGCTATTTCCAAACTTGAGCCACGATTTGAACATATTATGAAGCATAAGCAAGCGCATCCATCTCACTAAAAATCTAGTAATAAGTAATATTGATTATTTAATATTATTGTTATTTTATTGAGTTATATTTCCTAAGACTAAACATAAAATATTTTGTTATATTTTTTTTTACAATAACTACTTATTTATAATTTTTTTATATATGTAATATGGTAAATAAATAATTAGTATAAAATATAAATTACATTCATATAAACATTGATTTTTTTGTCATTTTTAATTTGGGAGCCGTCAACATTTTGTGAAGACTCAAAGGAGCCTTGGGATGAAAAATTTTGAATACCTCTGGATTAAGAGCATCATCATAATATTTGCCCAATGCGAAAAATATATAAATGTATTATTAATAGTGAGAAATTACTCGAATGGTCGACTAACCCCATTGGATACTTGATCATCACCACCTACTGCCGAAATATTATGTGGTAGGTATAGATTCCCTACCTGAATATAAGGTTCTACAGCCGCCCCTACCGAGACGTGAAATCGCTAGTTTACTTGATAGATTCGTTCATATCAGTACGATCCGATAAGCGCGATATTCTCGAGGCGCTGGAACCACGGTACAACACCTGCGAGAGAAATATAACGGCGAACATATAGCGGTCGAAAATCCCGCAGCACTACTCAAAAAGTGTTATTTATCAGTACATGTCCAAAGCGAAAAAAAAGATATGGTCCCTGCTGTGCCGAAAAAATATTTACATTTTTGGCTTACGAGAGAAAATATAAAATAATTTTTTATATCTCGATTCAAGAATATCATTTCGAAAATATTCTGTTAATACGCATTGAATTACTTTTACGGTACTGCCGATTACTGTATAATTACTGTTTATAGATTTATTTATATTTTATTACTGCCTAGCATAGGAAAGCAGTCATTAAAAGCGTTGTCTTCTATTTTAGTCTTCCATAAAATTAATTTTCTTTGGAAAGCCGTAATTTTATCAAGAAGCTCAAAAATGTGGGTTTCATTTCCGTATAACGATTTATTTAATATATTTAGCTTTGAAAAAATATCGGAAAGATATGACAGTTTTGTAAGAAAATCAGTGTATTCAAATTTTTTTTGCATGGTAGTCTAAAAGAAAAATATGAAGTTTTTTTCTAAGTTCGAATACTCTTGCCACTACATTTCCACGTGAAAGCTATCGAGAATTGCAATAGTAAAGTAAGGAAGTGTGCTCAGATCCCATATTAACACACATTTGTTCGAAACATCTGGATTTCAACGGACGATGAAGTTAACGATTTTAATAGTTGATTGCAATACCTCATCAAGTGATGGGCTGATAGATTTTGAAGCGAGAGCTTCTCTGTGAATTATGCAATGAGTCCATACAGCAAATGGGGCTTTTCTTTTAATGAAGGCTTGAAGTCCGTTGTAACATCCTGACATCGAATGAGCTCCATCAGTACAAATACCACAGCACATTTCCCACATTAAATTATTTTCCGTTATGAAAAAATCGAGCATTTGGAACAAATCTACTGCTTTAGCTTGACTTTTAATAGTTCAGCAAAAAAGAAGATCTTCGTGAAAAACGCCACCATCTATAAACCTCACGTAACAGATTAGGTAGCCATCATTATTATTATCAGTGGCTTCGTCCAGTTGTAGAGAAAAATCCTTGCCTTTTAATTTATCTATCAACTGATCGTTAATATCTTCAGCCACATCAAGTATTCTGCGATTAATAGTAGTATCTGATAATGGTATGTTCATTAATTGCTTGGCAGCAGCCTCCCCAAGCATAATTGACACCATATCCATTGCTGCCGGTAAAATGAGTTGTTCTGCGATAGTGTGTGGTTTTTTACATTTAGCGACCGGATAAGCAACTTTGTAAGATGCAAGCAGAGCCTTAGAAGGGATCTTAGCATGCTTGGCAAAGGTTGTCTTTTGTTCACGCATTGCTTTTAATTTTGACTCAAAATATGTACGTGGTTTGTTTTTCAAAGTTTCATGTACCGTTTCCAAATGACGTTACATTTTATTAGGGAGCATGCTTTCAACAGCCATCACTTTGAAACAAATAACACACTGTGGACGTTCTTCATTCTCCACTACCGTATACGTAAAACCATAATCCATGTAACTCTCATCATATTTACGGTGTTTGATTTTCTTACAGTATTAGAACTATCAAATTCCGGATTATCACGTTTAGGTCTGTTCAAAAATTTATCAATCCTGATAAAACTCTAAAACTTAACTAACACGAGAAAACTATCACTTGTGTACACGTAAACACGTTAATAGTCAATGGATAAACACAACTCGCGACTAATACTGCCAAACACGACATATGCACTGATAATTTAACGATGGTAGTCGATGGTATCGCTATCGCTATCGCGACTTATGCGACCAATTAAAGCTATATTTAGTGAATGATTGTTGTAGAGTGTAGACTGTAGACAATTCAACGTTTCCCAAACGGTGTGCCTCAATGATAATAATAAACGTTTTTCGTAAAAATATTTTATTAATTAAAAATAATTTATATTAAAAATATTTTAAAATATTTATTGGTTTTCAATTATATGACGCGGCTCCCTTCGACAACTCCCGCGACGCCCCTGGGAGCCGCGACGCACAGTTTGAATACCTCTATCTTAATCCAATCTTGTAGTTGTGGTGGGGTCTCATGACAATATGATGCCGTTCATTTTTTGGCTTCGGCTCCACTAAACAATTAACCTATAATACTGTATACTATAAAGTTGTCGGGTATCAGATGAGGACGCACTACGGATGATGAACTCGTCTGTCCGACCGAACGGGCACGTAGCTTAGGAGAAGCTTGGGGTGATCCGTTCACCCAAAGTATTCACAAACCATCCCATAATATTATTGAAATAACCGATGCTCAAATAATCAAGTTAAACAAGTTAAAATTTGTATTATGATATGTGTTATTTTAACATAATTGTTTTTAACGCTGTGTTCAATGTTAACACAATGAATACCTACAGAGAAATATAAACATAATAGCTTGTAATTTTGCATCAAAAACAATTCGATTTTTGAACAACACGGTCAGTCAGAACTCATCATATCATATACGTAAACCATAATTCATTATTCATATATATATATAATATACATAAGGTTTAGGAGTTATATGATATGAAGATGGTAGTTATCTAGTTTATATGTTTATTTAAATTTAGAATCTTTTAACACCTTTTGTTCTTTCGTTATTGTAATATCGTAAAGAGGAAGTCTTGGTCGTATATTTCTTCATAATCTCAAATTTGAATAAAATAAATAATAGGATCGTCGCTCGGGGTCTACAATTACGTTACAATTCGATAAGAAGAAGGACGAGTAGATGTGAGAGGGTGAAGTAAATGTTAGATGCTCGAGAAAAATGCCACCCCGATTGCAGTCACGTGACCGCGACCAACTGACCGGGTTTAGCCGTAAAAGTACACGGACGAAATGTTATTTCAGGTAAAGCCGAACTGTACATCATACTCGCGCTGCTGATCGGCATGGCGACCGTCATAGTCGGCTGTTGGCTATCGGACAACTGTTGGTCGCCCGAACCGGAACAACACTACACGATCGCGTGGCACGACCGGCACCGATGGATATGAGAAACGGTCCGGGGTGGAAAAAGAACAACCCCGCGACAGCAAACCGGTCCGGACGCGGTCGTCCGCGATCCGGTGCTCCGCCGTCAATGTAATCGACCGTGAACCGCAGACACAGTCCGGTAATAAACGCACTAATTAACGGTTACGATAAACAACGTCCATAACATTTGTAACGATCATTGTTTTGTTATTTGCCCGTTAGCCATGAGCCTCCTCCCACCCCCACAATCCGGTCGGAAGTTGTGGGTAATAATTATTAAATCGACTCGGCGTCACCGGACCACAAAGCAACCGTTTTGAAAACAAAGATTTATCAATATCCTCGTTATCATCAAATAGTTTATTAACATTTCTCGCGCCATTAGTGTCGCAGTATCTGGTAGCGGTGGAAATATCCGAATTTCAAGGACCATCCGGATCGATCAATTCGATTTCACTGCTTGCTCTATAACTGATTCTCGTGTTTACAAATATTCAATTAACGTTGTGCTGTTAGGATAGGTCGATCGAGTATTCAGTCATGGCATCTTTGTAAGTCATAGATATATATAAAATAGTACAGCAACTAGTTTCGGTAACTAATAGTAAATCGTAAAAACTGTTAGAGTCATGATAAGTATTTCTGTAATTCGTACAGCATCATAATGATCTTTTGTTAAATTTTGACTATCATAAAATAAAAAAATAATTAATTGTTACCTAGAAATTAAAAATATTTATAAGTCGCGTACGAAGCATATCCATAAATCCGAACCATCCGATCATTCGATAAGTTCAGATCTTCGGATTTTGTGCCCATCTCTAGTACGCAGCAGTAATAATAGTTGTAGCTGTTCTAACCATAGTGAAAACCAAAACGACTACAATAGTACATGAGCAGGTGTATATAATTATTTTTAATATTTAGCCGAGACTTTCGCGATTGATCTCTTCGATCCATCTCGTGCACCGGTATAAGGTATAATGTTATAATGTGCGCATCAATTAAAATCCACACGTTCCTTTTGCAGTTGAAAATTAAATTGCTACAGGGCTCTCGGTCCGGGACGCGTAAACGTTATTTTCGTCGGTTGAACTCGATGCGGAAGATTTCATCGTCTCCTAACGCATCAACGCTGCCGACCACCGACAAATAACTATTAATTGTTCAGCCGCACTTGCTCGTTCGCAATGATAATAAAACCGGTGTACATATATTTAGTTCTAGAACAATGGTTTTCAACCTGTGCGTCGCGGCTCCCAGAGGCGTCGCCGGTTATTATCAAGGGAGCCGCGTTCGTAATAAAAACTAAAAATAAAATTTCCGCGCACCAATACATATTACATGTTGCGTGTGTAAGACAGATCGGCCGTCGATAATCGTGTTTGCGATATCGAGAAATAGCAAATTTCGATTACTATTTATAATTAGGTGATTTGCCTCTAATCTAATCTATTTTAAATGTTCGTATGGGAGCCGTATATTTTATTTCGAAATCAAAAGGAGCCGTGGACCCAAAAAGGTTGACAACCACTGCTCTAGAAGATAAAGTTATCGCACAAATCTCGCATATTTTTTAAACGTGTACATATAAATAGTTTGTATATATCACATAATCCTGTTCTAAAATACTTGTCTCTTTTTTTCAATTCACTTTTGTAAATACGAAACGATTCGACAAAATATCATAACCTTTTATTATAATAATGTACATTGTGTGTTATGTTCCAGCACCGGACGTGCATTTCCGTGATTTTCCTTCTAGTCGTCAATTATTTACATAAAAACATAATGATTATTTATGTTCATGTACATCACTATAATACTGTTTTACGTATTTTATTAACTGTCAATTACTATTGTGAAACCAATAAGACGTTAGATTTAACTTAGGTAGGTCATTGGGACGCAAACATAACAAGTCGTTTTCGGTGTATTTTTTTTTTTTTTTTTTTTGTTAAACTGCAAGTGGTGTCAGACGAGAAGAAACGATTGTACGAACAAATAATTATAAAGTATTGGTAATGAGTTTATTAAAGATCAAAAGCTATTACTTTTTCGCCTGATGTTTTCAGTAAAATTAATACTTAGTTTTTAGATAGTAAATAGACTCCCGCTAATGATGTTAGATTCTAAAATGCAGGACCTATTGTATTATTTTTCAATACACTAATATCGGTTTTGTATAATGTGCAGGGTTAGTAGCTTTTTTATAATTTAAAACGATATAATAACTCGTATGCCTTCAAATTAAGTACGTGATACAATCACATGCATATAGTTCATTTTACCAACCGATATAGTTCGTCGATCGGGACACAGCTCGTTTTGAGTTGTAAATAACAACTAGGTTTTTATTTATTACTAGGAAACATAGTTATAATATTAACTTAAAACTTAATTCATATTATTACAACGATTTTCGTTTTAGAAGCAACTATTGATAACGTCCTAAGCTTGCAGTACATTTCAGAAAATATTTATAACTCTTGTAATGAATGTTTTTCTTTTTTTTTTTAATTTTAAATTCATAATATACTGTTTTATAATGTATTAATTATATATATTTTATCACTTACTCTTAAAACTGATTTAAAATTGTACACTTATCATCTATAATAAATATAGTCAGTTAAATTATTGATTAGGTTTAATAGATTTGAAATCATATCCAAATAGTTAAGAGATTTTACAAAATATCTCTCATCCTAATATCATATAAGTTTGTCTTATATTCTACTAACTTGACGCATATCAACATTTGTAAAGAAAATTCCAATTCTAGAATTTTAAATTGAAACAAGTGTTACACATAAATAGCAAAAGTCATTAAAATAGTATATCTAATTGGTAAGAGGATTAGCTATTTACTTCGTATAGTTTTAAAACATTCGGACAGGGTTGTTGGTGAAATCTACCGAGTCACCGTTTTTACACTTTTAAGAAGTATCTGATGCAGGACAGATCTCGTTTCAAAAGGTTGTTTATAATTTAGTTCCCTTAAAAAAAAAAAAAAAATCCTTTATGATCACTGCCATGGCACAATACTTAATATTTTAATAAATCAGACAGAGATAGCGATGAAATTGTTTAGTTTGATACATCGTAATAATGTACAGAGTTCTTATTTTGTCGGAAGTAAAAAATAGAATACGCATAACTCATATAATTATGGTTACATTTTTAAAATCACCCTATAGAGAATTGTTTTTTTTTTCATTTGTAACAGTATTTAATGTGTTCACTAAAAAAATATTATTGTATAAATAATTTTGAATGTTAGCATTTTAATTTATAAATCAATTTATACTACCCTTTGTTTACAGTATTACACATTATATATATATGGATAATTTATGTAAAAAAATGTCATAATATATATTACGCAAATATTATGTAAATAATATGCTTATTTTGAAATGTACCCGAATAAATTTTTAAATTTATTTTTAAGTATAGATTATTTGCCAACATAATATTGGGTAATTTAAAATAAAAATAAAAAAGAATAACATTGTTTTTCGTGTGCATATAAAAATATATATTTTTTTTTAATGTCGAAAAATAAGTTCCTGACTCATATTATTCTGTGAAATGTCATATGAGTAATAACTAATATCCAATAATATTGTTTGTATTAAGATACATTGTATAATATAAACTACGTTTATTGATATAGTAAGTATAAATGGAACACATTATCTAGGGTCCAAATATATAGTTTATGTCTGTAGGACAGGTATCCAATGTGTATCGTACATATTATTGATTTAGTGATATTAAAATATACATCATAATTAATTATTAACAAACACTTATGTATATTGAAAAGTTTTTGATTTGAACATTGAACAATAAAAATGCTATCTTATATTTTTGTGTTATATTTTTTTCTTCTGTTTTTTACACTTCGTAGAACTGTTCGCAATATCTTATTCTTAAAGGCTGTTGCACAAATTATAATGACATTAGACATTACCGAACTTCGTAAGGAAGAAAAAAATGAAAGTAAAATTCATCGAACGGGGAGCAAAGTCAAACTGTGTTATTAAGAATCAAAAAAAAAAAAATTAATGACCCAACAGAATTTAAAGTTGCAGACAGCGATGAATGGCAATAAAACGTGTAATTTTTGAATAAAGAGACCGTAAGTATACATTTTATATACTTAAATGAATAAAGTATTTTCTTAATATTTCAAAAATTAATTTATTAATTTATTCATTTACAAAGAGTAATAATAGCTCTAGATTGTATAAAACCATAAGAATGTATATACCCCACTTACTTATTTTTAAAGATTTAAAAATTAGTTTAAAAACATAAAGTATATTAATGTTCAATATTACCTGCTTCCGAACTTTTAGATTCTGAGATAAATAATGAATAATTTTATAAAGTTGTTTTTTTTCTACGATTAAAGTTTTTGGTAGCCATACAGTATCAAAGTTTCAAAAACAGAACCACATAAAATCGAAAATTAAACAAAGTATTTTAGATAGTTTAAAAGATTAATTAGATTGAAGATTATATTAAGAGTAAATTATTTTTCGATTTTTTGAATAGATGTTACAGTATGATTGAAAAACTGAAAAATAATGTTAATTCTTATTAAACAAGTATTTTCTAAATCAATGAATTTGTTTGTTGTGTAAAATAAATAAAAAACATCTAAATTATAATACATATTATTTTTATTTTTAGTAAAACAAAACGAAAGGTTGGAATGAATGGATCTTTTTACCAACATTTTGACAGTATATTTGTTTTTCACGAGTGATAATCATTTATTATACTCTTTGAAGATAAACTTATAAAATATTTAGCTAATGCTTATTTTTACTACTTAAAAGGTTAAATTAAACACGCCATTTTGTCTATCCAGTTATAACCTTTAATTATATTTTCAATAAAACCAAAACATTATTCTTTCAAGGGTAAGTATTTTTTTTTACACTCTTATCTAAGACCATTAGTGTTTCAAAATGATAAACAAAATAAAAACAAAATTTTATTTCCATTGCCTGGTAAATTCATAAACACAAAAATGTATTATAACATTTTTAATGCATTTGGCTTAAAATTATCGCGAAAATAATTTTCATTATATGCCTTTGTTCGGATCATAGTTAGTCATAAATTAATGTACACAAATTATTAAGATAATACACGTCCGTAATAAATATACGTTTTACATTCTCATTCATCTTCATATTTTCAACCAGTAGGTATCCTTTCTGAGTCTTGAGAGGATTATCAATAAGAGAAAACTCAATTACTAGGTCTCGGCATCCGTATTAAAATTTGTTTTTGGAATCCTTATACATTATTGATTTTGATTGAATAGATGATCGATTATTGTTATATATATTTAATAATTCAGCGTACAGTGCCATCCCGTGGGCAGGGCAAACGGAGCACTTGGTCAGGGCTTCGCGCCTCAAGGGGCCTCATGTTTTAAAATATATTCATATGTTTTATACTGTACATATATACACATATACGCCGCCAGGAATTTCGCCAGGGGAGTGCATCATGAATAATATATACACTCATTTCTAAATAGTGCTTAAATTATTTAAGTAAAATACGCAGGAATATTTTTTCAAATTGTATAAAATTAAAAATTGTTTTCGTTTTTTTTATAGCTACAAAGTAATGCAGGCTATTAGAAAATCTGATAGTGATAATTATAGCCTCCATCCTAAATTTTTAGATTTTATTTATTTTTTTTTTTATCCAGGGGGTTGCAAGAGCACTCGAGAGCGCATACATGTATACATACTTGTATGCATTATACGATAAGAAAAAAATAAATAATTTTGTAGAATTTTAACTGATTTAGAATGTAGAATTATAAAGGAAAACATCGATGACTTTTTAAAATTATCATCGACACGAAGACGAAAAATAAAATTATAAAACCCAATTTTTAAGGACATAAATATTGTCTGGTGCTTTAATATTTACTGTTGACCACATGGTATATTGGGTAATAATTTTGGTATATTTTTATTATAGATATTTACTATATTTCCAAGTATAAATATTAGGTCAAAATAACAAAGACATCTTTTTCTAGTTGTAGCCTTGTAAGTTGTTGGTAATTAGAGCATACTAAAACATTTATAATAAACAATTTTCTCCAACTACTATATTTCTATGCTACTATCTAGTATCTATCTACCAACGCTGTCGACTGTCTTATGTTATCTTTTTGCAAAATTATGTAAATACCTATTTACTAATATATTTTTGACAATTGTTACTACTAGTACTCTGAACGGTCCGTTATTCAAAAAACCAGACTGGAGACTGGGGTTCAAATTTTACCAGGGGACCGAAGTCGGACTGGATCAAATTTAAACGTTAATCAAAGACCAAAATTGGACAGAACCGATGGTTTCGTATTATTTTTAGACCGAACCGGACCAGTAATTAAATAACATTTAATAAAGTAGACCGTAGACAAGAAAGTCGGTCCGATCTTAAAACTTTATGGACCGGTTCAGTCTGTATTAGCCCAGACCGTACTATATGATGCGTTTAATATTACACTGGACCGGACTATCTGACTTTATAAATAAATATATACCAAAAGTTATCGGTTTTTTTCGTTTTATTTGTTTACATATCAATATCTGTGTTTATATTTTAAGTACCATGATTGGGACCGGACTAGACTGAAAATAATGTACTCGTATTTGATCTGAGGACTGGACCGAATTACTCCTAAAAATTTTTTAACCGGACCAAACCGACGATTCAATAATTTTTGTATATTAGGACCGTACTAGACCGGGCCACTGTCCAGTCCGGTCCGGACCGGGCTGATTAAGACCAAACCATGCACAGCACTAGTTACTACTATATACAGTACCGAATATAGAATATTTAATGCTCAGGTATAATAAAAACACAGCGCCCTTAACTATGCACTACATAGACGGAACTAAGGAGAGCGAGAGGTATCTCAATATAATAACAATTTATAGTTAATACAAATCAAAACTGTAAAAATATTGTAAATACTGATGTTGTAACCTTTATATTGTATCGTATTTAAAATAATTTAGTTATTTTAATTTGTTAAAAAAAAGTTTAATTTCTCAAAATGTAGGAATTTTAAAAATTAACTGTAAGAGTTGTCAGATCATTGACATTTAAATTTAAAAATAAAAAATAAAAGAAAAATATGACGACGATGAATTTGTATAAATGTTTTTGGTTTTTTAACACATCACATTTTTGACTGCCGAGTTCGAGTGCCAAACAGCCAAGTGCCGGAATGCCGATGGACATGGTCGCATACCGAGTAATCGAGGTCAGTTTTATTAATATTATCTCACAGAATATTTCCGATTATATTAGTCGTCATCGAAAAGATAACCGGTCGACAATGCCTAGACGTAATAAATATACGCGATGATATACGCGTGACTATTAAACGGGCCTTTCAATCTGATATTTATTTTTTTTATTTCA